AGCGGGAGGTCCCTGCTCCAGCCTGGACAAAGCCTCTTCCCACCACCATTCCAACTGCAACCTGTTCCTCTCTGATCCCTGGGCAAAAAATTAGGCAGGAGGAGCAGATGGGTGACTCAGGGCTGGAATGTGTGAGCACAGATCCCCACAGGCCCCTCTCCTTCCTTCTCCTGCTTTGGGAGAGAACAAAACCCTTCCACGCCTGACCCTGGCGCTGCAGGCTGAGAACTGGGAATTGTGGCCCTGGCCTAAATCTGGGGGCAGGGGATGATGAAAGGCCAAACCTCTCTGAAGCTGCACAAAGTGATGTGATCCACGAGCCAGGAAAGGTCCTTCAGCCCAGGACCCCACGGGGGTGTGGGAATGCAGGAGGGGATGAAGCTCATCCCAAACTCCCACCAGTGCAGGGCTTGCTGAGCTCCACGGGCTGGGCTGGGGCTGCTGGGCAAGGCCATGGGCAACCCAGCTTCCCAATAGACCACAGAATCACAGGAATGTTGGGGCAGGTGGGGAATGGAGCTGGGGGAGGCCGAACCTCAGGTGGGCCAAAACCCTCTTGGGGGAGCACCAGGATCAGGTGTGAAAGAGTGCCTAGGTTGGAAAGCCAGGTGTCTGCTGAGGAAGGCAGGAGCCTCCCCTGAAATGGAAAATGGAAACCCCCTCCCTCCAAATTGCTATAAATTTTAGATTCAGGACTCTTGGGTAAAAAATATGGGAGCAGGAATAACAGTTCGCAGCAACAGTTCCTGGAGGGAGCAGAAATCCCAAAGGGGAGCAGAAAGGTCGATTTATCAGAGGAGTCCAAACCTTTTCTGGACCCAGGCATCCTCCCCCTCACTGGGCAGTGCTGCTGGCACTCCCACATCCCCACGGAGCAGATGATCCTCACCGGTGGGCAGTGCCAGGCATGCCCAGCCCGGGGCTGGCAGGGATTTTGTCAGTGCCACCGCCTGTTTGGAGCTGCAAGACTTGGATTGCAGCGCTTCTGGCACGACTCTGCTGCTGGCCCGGGTTCCTTGGCTCTCCATCCCTCTAGGTGCAAATCCAGCCAAGTGGGAGAAGGGAGACAAGGGATGAGGACAGAGCCTGGCACACCCTGACACCAGTCCCTTTCTCTTCCCCAGTAAAAACCACCATTTCCTCATCATCCCGGAGCATTTTTATTTCCTTTGCTTTATTTTTGAAGCCAAGGAGACACATGGAGCAGCCGGGGACACAGGGCTGAGAGGGAGCAGGGCAGAAAGGCCCCATGGCGGGGACAGTGACAGCATCCCTGGCTCAGGCATGGGATTAACCAGCAGGTGCACTTAAAGGAATTTTAATCAACAAAAGATGGGGCTGTCAGTAAAAACAAGTGCGAGGCTCTGGGGCACCACGCCAAGGGATGAGAGCAGGGTTTTTAATCTAGGAAAGTACCTGCTGGGAGGGAACAGCCTGGATGTGGCTGGGGAAGGAGCTGCCTGCAGCCAGGGAAAACCTGAGCTCAGAGAGGCTTTCCCCCGGAGCCAGGCTGCCCTGTGGGTGCTGCTGCAGTGGAGGTGGTGGGGAAAGGGATGGGAGCTTCGTGTGGGGTTGTTGGGACTCTCCACAGCTGGTTTGTGCCTCGGTTTCCCCACTCCTAAGCGGAGATGTTTCTCCTTTCAGACGGGGAGATTTGGTGGGGGGGGTGAAGAGGGGTTTATCCCTCTTATGGGATGTGGGATAAGCCTGGAGCAAAGCCTGGGAGAAGGGCAGCAGGAGCTGAGCATCCAGCCGTGAGCAGGAGGGGCCAGCTCTGGGCAAGGATGGGTTTCCAGAGCTTCAGGAAGGGCCAGAGCATGGGGAGCACCCTGGATGCCCACCAGGGGCAGGTGAATCCCTGCATCCCTCCTCTCAACCTGCACTCCGTGTGGTGTAAGGCTGCCTCGGCCTCACACCCGCTCCCCTCGGGGATGCTGCTGGGGGATTTTGGGAGGGGGAGATTCCCTGGAGCCAGGTGTGACTCCTCCTTCCCCCTGCATGCCTGTGACAGACCAGGAGCTGACTCCCTGCTCTAATCCCAGCTCTGAGGTGAGGCTAGCTGTGCCTGCCGCAGCCTGGGGGCTGCAGGGGTGGAACTGGGGGCACTGGGTGGGTTCTGAACCCAGCCCAGAGCAGCTCCCAGCCCACCCCAGTCTCTGGTGCAGCTGATGTCACTGGCCACGGCCTTGGAGCGAGGATAGTGAAGGTAAGGGATGGGATTCAAGGGGTTGTCCTGTTCAGTTTGGGATCAGTGGGATCCTATAAAGCTCTTTTCCCCTGCAGAGCCCCAGCCTCATGTGCTGGATGTATCTTGGCATCAGCTGGGGCCCCCTCCCCCAGCTCGGGGTGATCAGAGACCCCTGGGTCCAGCCTCAGTCCAGCTTCCTGGAACCTTTATTCATGGAGCAGAATTATGGAATGGTTTGGGTTGGAAGAGACCTTAAAGCTCATCCAGTGCAGCCCTACCATGGCAGGGACACCTTCCACCATCCCAGGCTGCTCCCAGCCCTGTCCAGCCTGGCCTGGGGCACTCCGAGGGATCCAGGGGCAGCCACAGCTGCTCTGGGCACCCTCAACACCCTCACAGGGAGAATTCCTTCCCAATATTCCCATCCATCCGTGCCCTCCGGCAGTGGGAGCCATTCCCCTTGTCCTGTTCTTCCAGGCCCTTGTCCAAAATTCCTCTCCAGCTCCCCTGGGGCTCCTTTAGGCCCTGGAAGAGGCTCTGAGCTGTCCCTGGATCCTTTCCAGGCTGAGCACCCCTGGCTCTCCCAGCCTGGCTCTGGAGCAGAGGGGCTCAGAACATCCCTGTGGCCTCATCCAGCAGCTCCAGCATCTCACCCGCACTTCCCACCATCCTGGTTTCCACACTTCAGCCCACTGGGACCAGTTTGGTTCAGGGCCTCTCCCCAGTGGTGTTCCCGTGCCCAGGGAGCTCCTGGGCTCCATCCCAGCCCGGCTCTGCCTGGCAAACCCTGCTCCATGCACAGGTGCTGAGCCAGCCGTGGGGCTGGGGGGGAGAATCCCCTGATCCCGGCCTGGTCACAGCCTGATCCCAGCCTGATCCCAGCCTGATCCCGGCCTGGTCACAGCCTGATCCCAGCCTGATCCCAGCCTGATCCCAGCCCTGATCCCGGCCTGATCCCGGCCTAAATCTGGCCTGATCCCGGCCGGATCCTGGCCTAGTCACAGCCTGATCCCAGCCTGATCCCGGCCTGGTCCCGGCCTGGTCCCGGCCTGGTCCCAGCCTGATCCCGGCCTGATCCCAGCCTGATCCCAGCCTGATCCCAGCCCTGATCCTGGCCTGATCCCAGCCTGATCCTAGCCTGATCCCATGGAGATCTACAGCTGCTGACCCCAGCAGTGTTCCCTGGCTGCAGCATTCCTGCACGTCCCCTCCCAGGGATCTCCAGGCTCCCAGTTCCAGTGCTGGAGGATTTCGGAGTGGAGGGGAAGGGCTGGAGGTGCTCAGTGTGCCCAGTTCCCACTCTTCTAACGAGATGCAGTCTAATAAATAACTCAAGCCCCAAACAGAGTTTCTTCATCATCAAGGAATGAACAAGCCTTGCAGCCTGGTTTTGGCCAGGCCATGCCTGCCTTGCGCAGATTTATTTTACTGCTCTGGCTACTCAGAGCCAATGGCCTTAATCCCATCCCTGCTGGAGGGACATCTTAGAGCCCACAAAAACTGACCTAAGATGTTCTTTTTTTCCTCATCCCTGCTTTGCAGTGCTGTAAGATGTGTTGAAAAGCCAGATAAGCAGGGGAGAGGCTTAGGAGGGGTGCCTGGGGTTCTGGGAATGGCTGAGCCCTGAAATGGTTTCTGCTGGAAAACAGGCTCTTCCCATACTGAGCAGGGCAGGGGGGAATTTTCCACTGCAAAACCCCATTTATCACCCACCCTAAATCATCTGACTGCGAGCTGGGGATGGCATTTTTCCTGCTTCCCTAGATCCTGGTAGAAAGGAAGGTTTATAATGCTGCCTGTTTTCCCCACAGCTGGAAGAAAAACAAATGTAAAAATGCAGAGTTTCCCTAGAAAAATCACTCCCAACTCTGCACCCAGCTGCTGGAGCCACCACAAAGCCACTTGGATGTGGGTTCACACCTTGCCATGGGCTTTTGAGAGCCTTTTAATTAGGAGGCAGCACTAATCAGGCTAGGAGAGTTTCCTTGATGGGGTGTTGCAGGGCAATGCCTGATCCTGGCTCCTGGCACAGCTGGGAAACCTGAATTCACTCCCAGCTTGCAGCGAGCTCTTGAGCAAGCAGGCTTGTGCCTCAGTTTCCCCATCTGGGTTCTCTCCTGGGGAATGCTGAGCTGCTGGGAGAATGTCTTTAAAAAAAAAATAAATTAAGGAGGTGTTTGTGTATTCTGCAAAAAGCAGCTCTGGGAGTCAGCTGAGGACAGTCCCAGCTAATTGCGAGGGGAGAGTTGGGTTTTATTTCCCAATTAGAGCCCTGGGAAGGCTGGGCTGGCACAGGGCTGCAGGCACGGTGAGGGGCTGGCAGTGCCCACAGCCCCAGGGCCCCTTTTGCTGGACTCAACGTCTTTTTCTTGGAGAGATGACAGGAGAGAGAAGGAAAAGCACAGTGCCAGTGTGGCAGCAAGGTTACCCCTCCCTCAGTTGTCCCCAACCCCCTTGGTGGGGACAGTTGGCTCCTTCCCAGCCCATGTCAGTGTGACAGAGAACACAGCGCTCCTCCCAGCCAGCTGGGGACCAGGGAGAACCTTGTTTTCCTGCTTTTACACCGGGAAAAGGGCATCTTGGAGAGGTGCAACAAAGCCCCAAGGACCCGTCTGCTGCCTTCAGCAGCCCCTTCTCCATCCCTGGAGCGGGGATTTGCTCTTCCCCACCAGGCTGGTGCTCCTCGAGGGCTGAGACCCCACGGTTACCTCCCCCATCCCTTTTATTTTAGCTGATTCATGGAATTTCTGCTCTGGCAGCAGCGTGTTGCTTTAAGCTGTTTACTCGAGTTCAGGAGGCGACAGCTCACAGGGTATTTTTAGCTCTCCGGGTAGCAGAGCGGGATTAAAATGCAGTCAGTGTTACAGACGCTGGGGCTGAATCAGTATTCCTGCACAAGCCTCTCCGTGCCAGCGTTTTCCATTGAGTGTCTGAAAAACCCAAGTTTCCATGGAGACCCAGCTCCAGGGCAACCCGTTTTCCTTGCAAAAATAATGATAATAATAATAAAAAAATAAATAAAAAAATAAAAGGCAGCAGGTAGAGAGCGGGCGCAGGGGCTGGCCATGGGATGGCTCCAGGGGGAGGGTGGTGGCTGTAAATCCCAGTCCCTTCCTGCTGGGATGCTGGGGCAGAAGCAGAGGTGTGGGTGTGGGTGGGAAATGCTGGTAAAGGTGGTTGGGTGTGGGCTGTGCTGCTCCATCCACCCCATGCCCCTTTGGAGGGTTTTGGGGGCTGGGTGTGCTCCCCGGGGCGTTTTGCTGTGGAGGAAAGGGGCAGTGTGGTGCCAAGGTTGGTTTGGAATGGTGGAAGCAGGAATTGTTACCCCACCTGCAGGAACTTAATGAGCTAAATCAGGAGATTCTCTTACCCATGTGGGAGCTGTGCTGTCTTCTGCCTCGAGGCATCTCTGAAAGGGCTTTCCTGGGGCAGGTCTGTCTCTGTGCAGGAGCAGAAATGCCCTCAGAGGACACGAGGATGAAGGTGGTGGCCCAGGGTGACACCACAGGACTGTCTTGTCTTGGTTTGCTTGCTGGCCAACATAGAGACATCAACCACAAGACTCTCCCATGGAGAAGAGACTGAAATGTTGGGTTCTCTGTTATTTTCTAGCTCGGCACATTTCCCCCTTGATCCCCACCTCCTGCTGCATCTTCCTTGGTAATTTGGAGGGAAAAAAGAGAAAATTCTTCATTCTTGCAGGACTTTTCTCTGATTTCTCCAGCCTGTGCCCATCCCTGTGGTCAGGACTCTCCCCAGCTGGTGCAGTGACAGTGTTGGGTGGCAAAGCAGGAGAAACCCAGTGTGGCACTGGAGAAGATTCAGCAAGAGGGACCCACCATGAGATGGCTGTTTGGTTTTCCCAACAATCACAGCATGATTGGCCTGGGGACTTATCCAGGGGGGACTTATCTTGGAGGCCCTCCTAGGTGGGGATGAGGGCACGGGTGAGATGCTGAACCCAGGAGCTGATCTCTGCTCTTGCAGCCCAGCACTGGGGTGGTGCCTGGGGAGGATTCCCAAACGAGGCACAGCTGAGATCCAGGCTGGAGCCACAGCATTTCCTGCCACTTGTTTTCCCCTTGCTACAGTGGGACTTTTGCGTGTGGCGATCCAGCAGGTGGAAACCTTGAAAACCTGACCTGGAGCCACTTGTAGCTGCCCCAAGAGAGGCTGAAAAGCACGATGAGATCGAGGACAAAGCAGAGGCTGGCTCCTGGTCAGCCCCAGCACTGCCTCCCTGCACAGGAACGCTGTGTCTGCAGGGACAGTGACATGGAAAGGTGCAACTGCTGGGCAGGGATGGACCAGGGATGGACCAGGGAGGGACCAGGGATGGACCATCTCTGCGGGGATGAGCTGCTCCCAGGAGAAGAAGGCTCCCCAGACCCAGATGTTCTGGTGAGATCTCTGTCCTAGAGCAGTGTGTGAGGGCAGGTGGGATCCAAGGAGAGGTGGAAGGCTGCAGACAGACACGAGCCACCAAACCTCTGGTGCAGTCAGGTACTGCAAGGCCACGTTGTCACAGCACAGTTCATTATTTTGATTTTCCAAACCAGTCATGAGCAGCCGCGGTTGAACAAATTGCTCCATTTCCAAAGCAGAGTTTGTGCTTTGCCATCCATTACCTGGGGAAAAATCCTGAAATCCCATCTGTGGAGAAGCTTCCTCGCCTTCTCAGAGGTGTTTTCATTAGAAGAGCAATGGGTGTTTAACATCCCGTGTCCCCCGAGCCAAATCCAACTCACAAACTTGTACCAAACAAAATGATTTTTGCTGCAGCTCCTCTCAGCCTGATTGATTAACATTTCTGCCCAAGCAAAGAAAACCTTCTGTGGAAGGCTTCTTTTGATCTAAAAACTGTTGTCATCGGCTTTTTTTAATTGAGAACCACTTCCACTGGCACTAATAGCTGCTCCCCCAGCCCTGCCCTGTGCTCAGCATGCCTGAAACTGCTCCTTTCCAACGGATTATTTTCCAGGATTGGAAACAGCTGACACGATGGGATTTCATCTCCATTCACAGAGAATTTAGGCAGACTTGTTCCTATTCAGGCCGTGCTCAGAAAATGGGCTGTTTTCCTTGTTCTTGGTAATAAAAGAGGAAAAAAGTCATTTTTCTGCCCAGCTCCTTCCTTTTTGTAGTCTTGGAAACTGTGTCATTCCCCACGGAGTCAAGGGGGTGCTGCCAGAGCACTTTGGTGCTGGAGGGCTGTGATTCAGCTCTTGGATCATGGATTTGGCTGAGGTTTGGCACAGGTCAGGCAAGGGCCAGCCCTCCCTGTGCTGCTGGGGTGGACATTCCTCTGGGATGCAAGGTGTGATCCGATCCCCTGGGAATGCTGCCACCACAGCAGGAGTGTCCCAGGGAGTCCCCTTCTCCCTGGGTCAGGAACCACGTGCCAAGGGCATTCTCCAAACACTGCCAGAAGCTCCGTGGTAACCAGGGGCTGATTTCCTGCGTGTCTGAGGCTGCATGAAACACATGCAATTAATTCCCTCTTATCCCTGCCCAAGCTGCTCCATCGTCGCCTTTGTTTTTTTCCCAGCGTGAGCAAGTCCCTGGCTTTGCTTCCTACTCCCAGAAAATGGTATTTGTGGAATAGCCTGCAAGGAAAACAACCAACCAACCCACCAACCCACCCACCAACCAAATAACCCACCAACCAACTAAACAACCAACCAACCAACCCACCAACCAACCAAATAACCCACCAACCAACCAAATAACCCACCAACCAACCCACCAACCAATCACCCAACCCACCAACCAAACAACCAACCAACCCACCAACCCACCGACCAACCAACCCACCAACCAACTAAATAACCCACCAACCAACCCACCAACCAATCACCCAACCCACCAACCAATCACCCAATCCACCAACCAACCCACCAACCAACCAACCAACCAAACAAACAACCAACCAACCCACCCACCAACCAACCAACCAACCAACCAACCAACCAACCCCCCAATCCAAAGTGTAGCACTCCAGATAACCACTGACTTTATTTCAGTAACCTGGCTGAATTCTCCACGGGAGCCCGTGGCCCTTCCTGGAGAAATGAAGATTTTTGCAGCTTCGTTCGAAGGCTGCACCCAATGTTTTTAGAGGTGTTTTCCAACCTAAATGATTCTGTGATTCCCAGCACTGATGGGAAGCAGGCATGGCCAGACGGGGTGGGCAGAGGCAGATGATAATCCCAATGTGTCTAAGCCCTGGTGGGAAGCATTCTGCAGTAGGGGGACTCTGTGCTCCTTGAGTGAGGAGGGTGCAGGAGACACAGCCAGGGGAACAGTGGAGAAGTCCAAGGAGAAGCTTTCACTATGGATCGTGGAACACCTTGGGTTGGAGGGGACCTTAAATCCCATCCCATTCCACCTCCTGCCATGGCAGGGGCACCTTCCAGCCCAGGCTGCTCCAAGCCCCCATGCCTGGCCTTGGACACTGCCAGGGATGGATGGCTGCTCCCAGCTGAAGAGATACCATCTCCTCCCAAACTGGCAGCAAAGGGAAAGTCAGTGGTGCCCAGGCAGCTCTGCCAGGCTGCAGCAGCTCCTTGCAGGGTCAGCCCAGCACTGACCCCTTTGAATGTGTTTCCACTTTCCCTGCAACACCCCCAGTCCCTCTCCAGGGGACCCCAACCCCCTCCAGCCCCTGCTTTGCATTTATAGCTGCCACTTGCAGCTCTTTTATTGTTTTCTGCTGTTCATTTAAAAAAGGCATCTGACACCATCTCACTGTTCATGGAAGGAAACTATTTAGGGACACAACCAGTGGGTTTTGGAAAACTTACCATAACGGGAGAGCTGCGGTTCCTTCCAGGCGTGCACCCTCCCTGCTCCCTGCCAGCCAGCTCTGCTCAACGGGACACTTTTAATGGGATGTTAACAACTCCAAAAAATACCACAGAGCAGTTTTGGAGCAGAATAATTGGGAGTCAGCTGCAGCTGGGGGCTCTTCGTGCTTCCCCAGTGCTGTCCCTCTCACAGAGGGACGTCACATTCCCGTCACTGCTCTGAGTGTCCTTGGAGCCTGTCGGGTATGTTGGAAGCCAGGGTGAGCTGAGGAGCTTGGCAGGGCTGGGATTTGTGGGGAGAAATGGCTTTTTAAGGGCCTGGGGCTGTTAAACAACTCATCTGGAGCAGCACTTTGGAAGAGATTAAGGAGGAGAAGGGAAGGGGCAAGTTCTCCTCTCTGGTCTTGGCTGTGGCCATGGTGGGGGGGTCGTGTTGCCTCTGTGCAGCAGAATGAGAGCTCCTGTATGGCAGAAAATAATGGGGATAAATTGGGGATAGATGGTGAGGAACCCCCTTGGTATCCCCCATCCTCTGCTAACACCCCTCAGGAGACACAGTGGATTAAATTCCCTGTTTGTGGGGCTGCTGCTCTGATCTCGGGCAGCCCCTCCTGCCCCTTGCTTGGAATTCTTGGGCTGTTGCTTCTAAATTTATCCCTTTTGGGGCAGGAGGGGTATGGAGGAGGGTAGATGATAGATAAGGAGGAGGAAAAGCACTTCTTTCTCTCTGGGTCCATTGTCTAATCAAAGGGAGCCTGACTTTAAAGGCTCCTTGTTCAGCAGACAGGGAACATCCATCATTAAAAATGTTCAAGGGCTTTTGTTCCTCAGTACCTCTTTGAAATTGCTGGCAATGACCAGGCTCGGAGCAACCTGGTCTAGTGGAAAGTGGCCCTGCCCGTGGCAGGGGCTTGGAACACGACGGGCTTTAGGTCCCTTCCCTCCAGAAAAACCATTCCAGGATTCCAGGATTGTAAACAGAGCCTTGGCCGTGCTGCTCCTTCCCCTCCTCATCAGCCCCCAGGCAACACAACGAGGACCCAGCTCCCAGGAAAAGGAAGTTAAATGCAGGAGCTCCTTGGGCTGCTGGGATCTCCCCACCCCAAAACGCAGCATGCAGGAGGAATTGGCTTTTTTTCGTGTTCAGCCCCTCTCCCCATTTCCCTCTGAAACTGCACAGATGTTGCTGGAGCCAGAGAGGCGTTTGGGGAGAAACCAGGGATGTTTTCCTCTCTCTGGTGTGTAAAAAGGCTGGTGGGTATGGCCGTTTGACGAGGTTTAACCTGTAACAAAAACGCCAGACAGGGGAGGGAGGTGATGCACGGGGGGGGGTTCAGCTCTCAGATCTGCACCGCCTGTTTGGGTCATGGTTTATTAGGGTCGGGACGTGCTTTTGTCCCCTCCGATGGACAGCTCTGGGGCGGTACGGGGCCAGGACACTGCAGAGGGCTCTCGGCTGCGGGGGAGAGATGCGGGCAGGGAGGGGCGGGGGGCAGCAGCCCGTGCCCAGGATGCTGCTCTCGGCAGATCGATGCTAATCCCGTTGTCTGCGCTGCAGAGCCGGAACCGCCCCGAGGGCGACGGGCAGGAGCGAGGGGTAAATCGGGATGGCTCCCGAGTCCCTCCTGGCTGCCAGCTGAGCCTGAAAGAGGCGCAACAAGGGATCCTCAGCTTCCACAGAGGGCATGGAGCAGCTCTTGAGGGAAGGGCTCCTGTCTCTGGTGGTCATGGTTTGTGCCCGTCCTCAAAACCTCACCAGGAGGGAGGAGAAAAGAGAATTATCTTAGTGAGTTCCCTCCTTTGTGAGCTCCATCCTTTGTGAGCCCCAGCCTTTACTCCTGGCTCCTCTCCCCACATTTCATTGCTGCTTTTTCCCTCCACGTTTTCAGCCCGCAGGATAAAATCATCCCGGAGCTGCCAGCACAGCTGCCCCCTGTCCCCTCTGCCGCTGCATTTCCATGCCATCACACTCCTCCCAAAACGCGGCTCTTGCCGTTCTCCGGGTTTCTCCCTCCACATTTCCCAGTGGAGGATGCAGGTGGATGGGTTTTGCCTGGCCTGATTGAAATTCGGCTCAGCGCAGCCTGGCTGGCGATCAGCCCCGAGCGGCTGCAGCGGCACCGAGCATCCCCGGCCGGGCTGGGAGCGACGGGACCTGCTGGGCTGGGGCCCGAGCAGCCTCATGCGGGAGAAAACTGCTGCGAGGGGACGGCAATGCATCGCTCCGGTGCCCGGGGCAGGCTCGGGTGGAGAGGAGCGATCGCCAGCCCGGCCCCGCCACCGATGCGCTCTGCAGCCTCGGGCGCATCACTGAACTCAGATTCGGCTTTGATAGCCCCAGTCAAGGCTGCTGGTGCCGCTTCCGAAACGCTGCTTTGGCTTTTTCCTTGGGTTCTGCTCCTTTTTGTGGCTGGAGGAGCCCATTGTGTTCAGTAACTTTGACTTCCTGCATTAGACAGGCCATAAAATGCTGCGTGGTGCTGAGCCTTATTATTAGCATTTATTACTGCGGAGGGAACAGGCTCGGCGAGCGCAGCTCCATGGGTGGGGAGCTTTTTAAAGCAATCACCTACGGCCATGCAACCTGTTATGAAAGCTCTGCATAACCAGGATGAATTTGTTATGTTGGTAATTAGAGAAAAAAAATCAACCTCTCGTGACAGAGAAGAGCCCAGTGTGTTTGTTCTGGAAATTAGGGGGGTCGGCACGGCTGTTGGAGGTGTTTCCCCCCCATGTCAGGGTTGTTTTGCTGGTGCAGGTGGGGATGGTGGAGGTTGGCAGCCCAAGGAGCTGTGTTGGCTCCTGTGATGCCTGCCAGGAGCAGGGCTGGCTGCCTGGCTCTCCCTGTGGGCACAGGGGCCATGCTGGGGTAATTCCTGGGTAGGAAAATGCAGTGCTGAACTCCTGATCACACCTTCCCCAATCATCCTCTGCTTTCACACCATGCCCTGGGCATGGTCTGGGCTCAGAGCTGCCTCCTCCACCCCTGCTGACCAAGAGAACACTGAATTTAGCACTGAAAGCTCTGGTCTGGGCAGGATCTTATGGTGTGAGGGGCTTGAAGGGCATAAAATGGGACCCACGAGGCCAAAGCCAGAGGGGGATCTGGTTCTGGGTGGAAGGCAAGAGCCAGGAGAAGCC